GCGGCACTGAAGGAAGTGACACAACATTATTATTTAAAAATGTATTTATTGCTTTTCGAAGTATTCTCCGCGAAATTTGACACTTTTTTCCATACGATGGAACCAATCATTGAAGCAACCATTCCAATCGGAAGTTGGGGTCTCCAAAATGGCCGTTTTGTAGGCGTCCACAGCTTCTGCAGGTGATGAAAATCTCTGTCCACGCAATTTATTCTTTATTTTAGGGAAAGTATAGAAATCATTAGGGCTTAGGTCGGGGCTGTACGGCGGATGGTCTAATAATTCTATGTTTTCTTGCTCTAAAAACTCTTTTGTTCTGTGTGCGGTGTGAGAACTCGCATTGTCGTGATGGAGGATGATGCGGCGGTTGCAGTTCTCTTTACGGAGTTCAGAAACGACCTGTGGCAAACAAATGCTAGCATACCATTCTGCATTAACCGTTCTTTGTCCCTCAAGAGGAATAGTCGTAACATGGCCGGTTTTGGAGACAAACGTGGCCACCATTTTTTTTGCAACACTCCGTCAACGTACAATTTTTGTTGGCTTTAACTCATTTTCGAATACCCAGACTCGTGAATGGTTTTTTTGTTTCGGGTTCGTACGCGTATATCCAGGATTCGTCACCTGATACGATGTTGTATACAGCATTTGAGGATCCTGCGTGGAATCTTTCGAGAGTTCTGACGCACCAAGTAACGCGAGCCGCTTTTTGCTCTTCACAGAGCGAATGCGCTATCCATCGGGAAAACAACTTTTTTACACCTAATTGTTCATGCAAGATTATTTGTGTTTGACTCATGCCAATGTTTAAAGTTGCCTGAATTTCGCGGTATGTCACATGTCGATCTTCCTCAATCAGCTTACGCACAGCATCAACATGTTCTTGGGTGACTGCAGTTTTTGGACGACCTTGACGGGGATCATCACTGAGCTTGACACGTCCACGTTGAAATTCAGCTAACCAGTGATAAATTGTGGTTTTGGATGGGGCTTCATCACCAAATGCAGAAATCATCCGGTCAACACACGGTTTTTGTGTTAAACCACTTCGAAAGTCATAATAAATCATCGCTCTTGAATTTTCTCGAGTCAATTCCATTTTCTCAACGACTAAACAAGTTTGACAAAACCTTCTGACAAGACCGAGAATCTTTTTTTAAATAAATAAGTGGTATTCGATTTTTAAAACCAAGGAGTTTTCAATTAAAAAGATTTTAATACGAAAGGAACAGTGGAAATATTCCATTCCCGATACTTTTAGTGCAGCCTATATATATCCTTTAACCACTACTGGTAAGCAGAAAATGCTTGTGCTAGAAGTGGTTCACAACAGTAGTCAAATGGCGGATTTGAACCCACAACCTTATGAGTTCGCAGTCCGCACCCTGCCTTTAAGCTACTGTCGCTTACTACACTGTATTCTATCTCCTCTCGCAGGGTCGTATATGTATATGTTTGTCTCTTTTTAGTATCGCTTTTTCGTTTTACCGAGTTTCAAATCACAATGAATAAAAAAAAGTGTTTCATTTCATTCATAAAACTGCCTAAAAGGCTACGAAACACCTAGCCACTATACTGTCAAGCCGTCTAATAAGTTTTTAAGCGATAGTAGTCTAACCGTAACCCAATAAACCTATGGTTTACCATTAAGCTTCAGTGTAACTAACTAATTCGTCTAACCGTCTCTTTTTGGTAAAGGATATTATAAGTTTTATCAGCATTAACTGATAAACTGTTATCCCTACACCAGTTATTTATGGTGTTTAGGGCTTTTTGTATAATTAATGATAAGGTCATCATCGTAACCCAGTGTGTCAATATGAAGACCTTCCATCTTGTACAATTATTGATCAACCGCGAAAATCCAAAGAAGGGGTGACAGTACACCTGATGGATAACATCTGGTAGTTGCAACCTCAACCCAAGTTTGAGACAGCTCTATTTTTATTTATTTTGCCTTTCTGTTTGAGAGCATAGGCTGCATCCATCTAGTGATCGTGGGGTTACATTTTTAGATATCAAGCCCTCAACCAGCAGTGATGTGGGGCTACCGCCAACTTCGCATGCATCACACTCATGAAGGCACCCTCAATATCTATAAAGGCACAAAGATACACTTATCTATTCCAACAGTCTTTGCATCTTATTATTTATGACTTCCATTAACGGAAAGTGCTAACAAAGCTAACTATATAGCCATATAATTTGTATGATGAACGTGATTATTTGTATCCTACTCATGTGTATTGTAACCATAGTACAGAAAAAAACCTAGTAGGTATAAGAATACTTTAGTCCATTGTAATAGTAGTGTTTTTAATTCTGATCATCTTCATCATTACCTAATGGTCCGTACTAAGCAAGGTTTTACGTCCGGGTGGCTTGTGTTATTCCACGTATTGTGACTCAACACTATTGAGATATCGCTCTTACCTGTCTATTAAGAGATGTACAATCTGGAAAAGTATTAATTTCAGTCATCAATGTGTGAACTTAACCGTATTGAACGTAAGTTAATTTGTAGTAATCGATGGTCAACAACTGCTACGTGCTACGCCCATTTGACATTTATTCTAATTACCTACGTGCGCATTTCTATACGAATCTTGGTTGCGTAAAAGTGAAAACAATATATCTACTGTCTCAACAGTAAAATATATGTACACTAGGGATGGGCCTAAATTAGCTTTATTCGGTTTAACCGAATTTCGGCGGCTTGAATTGAACCTCGGCATTCGACCGAAGTTCTGTTTAAATGCCGAAAATTCGGTACAAGATTAAAATAAAATACCTGCACTATTTTTGACTACAGTTAATAGATATCAAATCAATTAACTTTAGTCATACGTCATAATAAGTTACTATCATTATCATTTTGTAAATTGTTACATTTAAATCTTAATTTGTAATAGAATAGAAAATTAAATTAAATAAGCTCTTCTTAATTAAAGAGTCTATAACAATCAAATTTATTTAATAAGAAATAGACAATAACTAAAAGTGAAATAAAATTATTTTCTAACAAACATCATAAATAGTAACATAACAACATAGTAACAACTACTTGTACACAGTTCAGCAATAAAGATCTATAAAAAAAAACTAATAGTAACATTAATTTCCAAACAAATCACTTTTTAATTTGTATGAAAGACAACATAAAACTGAAACATTAAATAAATATACTCATAAATTAAGTAACTAGCTAAAAATCCAAAATTTAGCGTGCGTGTGTGATTCAAACGGTTCAAACAACATTTTGCCCATCACTGATATTTATTTTATTTTCATCAGTGGTAGAGCCACGCGGCAGCTTTTGCTGTCACACGTATGGGCCGGCTCGAACCGGGATAGTACCACGACCTCACAGAATACCAGCGTGAAGTAGAGGTTTACCTCTGCGTTTCGCTTGGTGAATGCAGGTGGCCGGAGGCCCTTTTTACTGGAAATGAGGCATTCCATCTTAGTCCTCACGGGTGACAACGCATCTGCATTTTGATTTGTAATAGAGGATAGATGTAGATGTCTATGGGCCACAGCAACCACTTACCATCAGGTGGACTGTGTGCTCGTTTGTAACCCTTATCCTATAAAAAAATATATACACTCATGGACAAATCTAGAGGAACGCAAAAAAAAAAGTTTAATTTCTGCAGTTGTAACTATCATGCGTACTGGCCACAAACATTAGAAAAAGAAAGTTTTGGAACATTTTTTTTCGAATTCCATTTGTTTTTATAATTATTTCGTAATTTTACGTTCTTTCATATTGTGTAACATTTTACACACCAACTAAAGTATTCGCGCATTTTTATATAGCACTAGCGACCCGCCCCGGCTTCACCCACGTAAAATATATTATGGCGTTATTTATATTTAACATAATCGCAAAACCTCTTATTATAACAAATTTTCGTTTTTTTTTTAAATATGTCTCAGTTTATCAAATAAAATATAGCCTAGATCACTCCTGGCATTGCTCTCTATCTGTTCGTAAAGTTTTATCATAATCGGTTCAGCCATTCCAAAAATTATCCCGGACAGATAGTGACATTTAAAAGAAATGGTTGTTTATATCTTAATAGCATGTAAATAACCCCCTGAGCTTAACAGAAGTTAGTTATTTCAATATTACAGACAGACACTTCACTTCATTTATATGCATAAAGGTGACAAACGAGCAGACACTGCACCTGATCGTAAGTATAGATGCTGTAGCCCATAGACATCTACATCTATTTGCGACTAAGAATCAAAACGTAGAACGCGTTGTCACCCTTACACTGGTCTGAATCGAGTCTTGATGTTTGTCCTTGTGCAATTCATATGTATAAATTGCCTCAATGATACAGGAGAAAATACTAGTGTAGTAATGCATGCCAATTTTTTGCAACATTCGAACCTAGGACCTATGTAACTGCAATTAAGTATGATGACTAATGCGCCATATGGACATCACTACCCACCACATCAATAAGGTCATAAGAGAAAATTCGTGTTTTAATAGAGAAATAAGGCCTAAACATTAACATTATCGGAAGGTATAGCTTGGGCAGAAATTTTAATAGTACCTTATGTGATACTCAAACACACTGTAATGTACCCATTTTGTCCCATTTTACTGGTTTCCGATGAAAGATATAATGCAATACGTTTGGATATACTCATATAGTGTGTCAAAGACACAGAGGCCATTGCAACAATTAAGATCTGTAAACTGACAAATTGTGCTTGGATTCGAACCTAGAACATATATTAGGTTGCTCAAGAAATTATTTCCAATCACTCTCAAATGAAGGTGAATTATTCTAAAAACTAAAATCTATATTAACAGTCTCGCATTAAGGCAAAGACCCTTAATATACCACAATTTCAAATTACATGATTATAATTTTTATCAACAGACCAAAAGGTGAAATCAAAGGTGCATAAAGCCTTGGAAAGTTACCATTTGGATTTGTTGAATAAGTAAATAGTAGTGATTTTTAGATATTTCTCACCTTGAAGTATCATCGTCGACAATAGTTTTCTTTACTAAATCAACAATTTCCTTGCATCTATCTGCTGCATTTATCAAGGCTTTGTGTACAATGTTAGAATTATAGATGGCAGCCCCCATTAAATCCAGCAAGCACAACTCCTTGTATTGATTCATTCCAACTACAAGAATGCCCCCTTTGTTGCCACCTTCTTCTGAGCTACTTGTACATACTGATTCTTCTATAAAACTAGGGTCTGATACAAGTATACTGAAAATTAAATTTTAATTTGGTTAATAAGTTATCTGACAACTTACCAAAATATTTGCTAAGTAAAAGATATGTAGAAAAGAGGGGTCAACCATGGTGAATAAGAAGTCAGGGAATACAAGGTAATAATATTTAGTTTTATTAATTATAAATTGCACCAGGGCACTTTTATAATTAATGATAATAATTAATTTCAAATGAATTATCTGTGAGCATCTAGGATAAGCTAGCTTGGTACAACTAGTGCACCGAATCATGCCACAGCGAAGACTGCGCACTCCTTTTTTTTCTGAAAGTGTATGCTGTTGGCCCTGCGGCCTTTACAGCTTCATGGAAATAGGCTCGTAAGTGAGGACATACGAGCTATTGAGTGCAACGTTTCTGCCGGCGGCGAGGCGAGGCACCCCGTCCCCTTGCTTTCGGAGAGAGGCTCCTCTTGCAAGGGAGGGGGGGGGGGGGGGGAGGGGACTCGATGTGATTCAAGGGCCCATCAGAAGGAAGTATGAACCTCGACTTGAACCACTATCACAATATGGGGTGCTGCCCACTCCGTCACTGCACGGTCGTTTTATATCCATTGCAAACAAAGTCGAGTAATGGCCGACGGCTGGAATCGAGTGGTGCGTCTTGTGGCGTGATCGGTGCGTGTTGTTCACTATTTTACTATTATTTTCAGCCGTCAGATACATATTTTCTTTGGTCGAGAGCCACTTTCTATTCAAAATATGTTCCAAAATAATAGTAACAAATATGTATAAATATAAAAAGTACACTTAAGTGTAGGTAAATAAGTATTAAACTAAAAATATTGTTACCAGTTATTGGAATTAGTTTAGCTGTTTCATTTTAACATAGTAGGTACTTAAGTGTTGAGTTAATATGGATTTGCTTATGTTATCCCAAAATTTTTAAATTATGATGATCTAGTTTTTTCTAAAATCAGACTAGACAGTGTTATTTCATCAAAATTCCTTTGAAAAAAGTGCTATTTTTTATACTATTAGTTTACTCTCAGTAAGGGCAATCATCATCATTACAGACCTTCACAAAGCATTGTCCAGAGCCACCTGCATCCATTGATTTCCTGCATGTCTTACTAGATCGTCACTCCACCTAATGGGAGGGCACCCTACACTTCGTTTACAGGTATGAGGCTGCCACTTGAGAACCTTTCCTCCCCATAAAGGTAATATTTAGATAAATCTCCCTTCAAATTCAAAATAAGTGCTCACTTATTTTTACAGAATAGGTTACTTACTCATTACTGAATATAGCAAATGCTATACAAACTGGATAATGATAGAGTACAGTTGGGATAGGATCCTTTTCAATTAATGTATGTATTATTACTTTGTCACCACTTCTAGTAACATCAGGTCGTTTAAAATGAGCTAAAGAGGCCAATGTAGCAATACTAGCACATTCAATAAGATTTCCTTCATGGTTTAATACTTTAATATCCACCCTTAATGACCATACCTGTAAATGAGAAATCATACTTCATAAAATGTTTTTATTTGTACACAGATTGCAATCATTATAATAATGTGTATAAACAATTAATACTGTTTTTATCTAATATAGATATAAAAGCAGGCCTCTGTCACTCTTGCTACCTACGTGAAATAATTACCTACAATCGCGAGCTGCCCCAGGGGTAGATCGCAGTCGGGGCTAGCGCGCTCTATACGATTGAATGTTAAAGTTTTTTTAGCGCTGTTTACGTAAATAATTGAAATACTCGTCGAAATAGGTTTTGTTTACTGTTTAATATATTTAATTGTAGGATAAAATAGTTGAAAAAGTTTTAGTGAATTTTAGAATAATATATAATATGTATATAGGATAATGAAAGGTAAATTTATTTCATTTTTTTTTACTAGTTAGGTACTTATAGCGAAAAAATAATTAATTAATAATTTAACTACAGAAGTAATACCTAAGCACTTTATTACAAAACTTAGTTGAAATTTACTGTACTACCCAAGTATCTACTTACATACCTATACTCATCTTTGTAATTAAAATATTTTAAGTTACACAGCATAAAATACTGAAATTAAAACTTTGTTTACAAGATTTACAACTAAGTAGATTATTTCTGTTTGGAATCGTATTTCGGGTTTATTTGTTGTTTACGCTATCTACCTATAGGAACCAAGCATCGCGTTTCCCAATGAATGGCCTTGCAAGTTGCATGCGTTGGGCATCACAGAACTCACATAATAGATATATATGGTCGATTATAGTCAGCATAGGTACTTTACCTAAGTAACTTATCATTTCATAATGTATTTTTTTACTCTTTATTAACAGCCCTTAACAACCACGGAAAGTTTGTTGTGACGCAGTAAGGAGAAAAGATGCAATAGTAATATGGACAATCGTGTGGAGCGATAAAGTTTTATTTAGCTTGCGTCCGCGATATATCTGATTAATAGTAACTATGTAGGTTATTAAAACGTCAGCAAGCAGTCAACATCAAAAGAGTGCAACTTCTGTACGTTAGTACTATTATTTATTCTGTGATAAAAGACACCTATATATACATATACATAGTAGACATGCAACAAATAGTTTATTTGGCTTTTGCCGAATATTAGGCAAAAATATTTGGTTGGGAAGGAAGTAGTGTTTATCCTTCAGAGAGTCAATTCTCTAAAGCTGGGATTGTCTACGAAAAGAAAAGGAGTAAATTACTGCTAAAAATGAAGAAACATTACTCTTTCTGCATCATTATCTTCCACTTTAATTATGATGAGTTCATAGACATTTATCTGATAGTAATTTTTAAAATTTTTATAATTTGGAAGTTGGTTATGTATCTACGACTACAAGAAAAAAAATAATTTCAGTATTTGAGCAAATAGCAACTAGATATTCGGTATTCGACCTAATAGGATAAAAGTAGCCGAATAGGCCAAATACCAAATAATAGCCAGATATTTGTTGCAAGTCTAATACATAGATATAAAAATTTCTGATGCTGTGTAATGCCATCAGGTGGACAGTGTAATCATTTGTCACCCTTATCCTATAAAAAAAACCCTTATCACCACATAAGAGGCATCATGGGGAAACAAGCCAGGAGATGGCCAATAGCAATAGCATCGTCCTGATAACAACTCAAAATAAAATAAAACCCAGTTGGCAACTCATCATGACAACTTTGTTATATTTTCTCCCCATCAAACAATCTATGGGGCAGTCTATATTCAGCAGTAGATGGGCAATGATTACAATTATACAAATATATATAATTCATAAAATAATATATTTTTGTTTCTTTTTAATTAAAAAGGCAAATAAATAGGAAATTCATATCTTGGGTACCTTTTCTTCAACAACAATACATAATGATTCAAGGTCTATGCATTTTGAATCCTTATAACATTTTTCTAAAAGCCTGTTCAAATAAACAGTCAGATCCGTTTGGCGATTTGCTTCAAACTGAGGTGCTGCCATCGGACTTATTTCAACATTAATATATAGGATTCCTTCATTGGGTCTAATTTGTTTTGGTTGTACTACTTCACAAGACACTTGAGCTAGCACTCTGAAAATGAAGATAATTAAGTATAACAACGTAGGTATAAAGTGTATGATAGAAGTTAATGATATTATCCTAGCGATTAGAATGAGTGAGATTGACAAAAACATACTTTGTTTCACCTAGAGAAACTATGCAACTCCCATACTCAGAGCCGAACGCAATTTCGAGTTTTCGACTTTCATTATAATTTCTTCCATCTAAACGCTGAAATTAAATTAAAATTAGAAACCGTTTACAAACTCATGGAGTCTCATACCAGAAAATTGTATCACTTACATGACCCTCGGATATGACTTTTTGTAAAAAGACCTTTTCACAATTTGATAAATACACTTCCCTCATTGTTTATTTTCGAAATACAATATTATCAATCACAATCTTAGGTTAAATCATAGATTACAGTATAAGTTAAATTTTATTATCTTTTTAAAAATTGTTTTTATTATGAAATCATTTTTAAAAACTATTTGAAGGCAAAGGGGGCTACTCTCGTAGAGCCTAGTCTGACGTATAATTTGTACACAAAATTATGTTAGAGTGCGTCACATCATCACTATGCTATCGATATACTACACCGTATGGTCATCGACACTTTTATAGTACGTTGTGGGTCATCACTAAGGAACGTTACGACAAGCGCTTTAGCGCATATTTTTGGAACTAATCGTCAACCATACCACTGTCCTATCTGCCGTAGACTGATATACAGTAATCTGTGGAGTGCGTGCAAAATAACTATGCGCGCGGCCAAAATTGACCTCCATCCCAGCTTATGAATTTAGAGTATCTATATAAAAAAAATACTGCCACACGTATTTTAAATAGCACATCTCAAAAATATTAATTATTTAAACTCCACCCATGTAGTTTAGAAATAAAAAATAGTTAAACGTAGTAAATTAGTTAAATGTCGATTGGGTGCATACGACATCAACTTTTTGTGTTTATCGTGCAATTATATTCAAGCAAGGTGCAGTTTTTTATACTGTAAAAAGTACCCAATTCTAATTATTTGATGTAATATCGACGTTATAAGGTGAACGATCTTTAACTATTTTTTATTTTTAAACTACATGGGTGCAGTTTAAATAATTAATATTTTTGAAATGTGCTATTTAAAATACGTCTGCCAGTATTTTTTATAAATATACTACAAATTCATAGGCTGGGGGGGGGGGGGGGGGGGGTTGTCTGAAATTGGAACAAATTGTGTGCCGCCATCTTATTGTTTATCGAGTCTCGAGTATCAAGAGAGTCTGTTAGGTGACGGGTTTTTGTTATTTGTTTCAGTAAATAACCGTCATCGTTATGAACGAGACAAGATTGGACCTATATTATCCTTTTCCAGAGTTAGAGCCCGTGTTGCATATTTGACAGGTAATTTTTAGGTCTGCCATAATAATGAAACTCCCAAATTTTTTCGGTTCGTTACTTGTATTTAGTTATCCTTGTTTCATTAATATCATGTATTTATAATGCATATAAATAATTCTTTTTGTTTTGTTTTAGGCGTTTCTGAACGGTCATCCAAATAACTCAAGAGGGTAATGTAACAGCTGCTTCATCTTCTAAAATTGCGACGCCGGGAAAAGTAGGAACCGGAGGATAGTTTGATTAAGACGATTTTGACATGTGCGCTATAAGGCATTTAATTCAATTGTCTTGCATCGTGTAGAAAGAGATTAATTTATACCATAAATAAACTTTGTTTGGAATTGAAAGCTGATATTGATTTTAAATATGGCAGAACATTTTTGAGGAGTATTTTAAAGACTATAAATACAAAAAGTGCAATTCGGGTTGGATTTAGAATCGTTTGGCACGAATTTGGCAAAGTAAGGTGTTTTATTTGGTAGAGATTTGTTCCCCGATTATAATAATACCACTCACATTAAAAGGTAATGAACCGTTATCGAAAAAAATGAATAAAAATTATTATAAGCTATAAAATGCGTAAAACATGGAAAAATTAATGTGAAAGCTGGATAGCATACAGAATTTTGTGTAAGTGCGACAAGGACGTAAAACTAGTGTCACATTATTCTACTGTCTATACTCTCTGTCAAGAGATATTTCACTAAAGGCAACTATAATAATAGAGAAAATTTTACTATGAATATTTATGGACAAGAGAAATTATAAGGAATAAAAGAGATCCTTTTGAGGAATTAATAAGAAAAGAAATACTTGAACACCCAGAAATGACTTTATAGATAAGATATCTGATCTGATCCAATCTGTACTAAAATTAAACCAGCACGCCCCGACTCCACGTAGTCTGTGTTGTCTGCCCTACTTCTACAGTTTTTTTGTAAAGCCGTAGGCGCGGAGGGAGAGCAGCCCCTGCTTACCTCCACAGCTTCGATTTATTGGTCGCCTTCGGCGACCAGCCTCAGCCGCTACGGCTCGCACAGGTGCTTGCGATTTGCTACGCAAGGGCGAAGGGGCTGCACTTCCCGCAGCGCCGAAGCCATTGTAGAAGTAACTTTGGGTCCATATTCCAGTGTAAAAAATTGAGGTTATGAGTTTACAAAAAAAAACGTCTCATAAACTATACTTTTCGGCAACGAGGGAAAGGTAGAGGGGCTTTCCCTTATAGGGCACACTCCTGCTACCCTCTTCCCCACTCCTGCCGGACACGATAAATGTTACTTTCAGGTTAGGTCTATGGGATTTTCTTTTTGATTTTTCTCAAGAACGGTTGTTACGGCGCACAGCTGCCCCTACAAAGGTCGAATATCCCAGGGCCCATGAACGGAAGATTCAACAGGCAGCCGCGGGTTCGAGCCCAAATGACCATATGGAAAAATGTCCTATCATACTAAACTGTAGGGAGAAGGCTAGAAAAATATGGTACGTACCTGTATCCGAATCTAAGACCGCCCCAAGGCTCGGTCAAGCCATAGGTGGGTGTAAGGTGCATGGAAAGTAGTATTTAGTGATGTGTATGTGTATGAGGCATCTTCCTGATAATAGGCAAAATAACAATAAAAAAAAAACTGCGGTTGCCAACCCGCTCGCCAAGCGTGGCAACTATGGCAATATACCCCCCATGAGGACCAGACGACAACTGTTCAGTGATGTCTCAGTGATCGCCAGGGTGAAAACCGGCAGCGATCACCGAATGGTTAGAGGCACACTGAACCTAAATGTTAAGTTGGAGAGGTCTCGTCTAATGAAGTCAACGCTCCGTCCCCCTCGTGCTCTAATCCAAAGTCCCGAAACCTTTCAGCTCGAGTTACAAAACCGTTTTCAGTGCCTAGAAGACTGCAATGAAGTGGACGATTTGAATGACAAGCTCGTGGAAACTGTCCATGCGGTCGGAGCTAAGTTCTGCAAGACCCGCCGCAGAAGAACACAAAAACTCTCCGATCACACTCTTAATCTCATGGCTGTTAGACGGGAGATGAAGCTACATTCTTCAACAGATTTGACAGCATACAGGCAACTGAACAGACAGATCTCCAAATGCATGCGGCGGGACTTACGCAACTTCAATACTGCTCGTATTGAAGAAGCGATCGAGCGGAACCAAGGCTCCAAAGTCTTTGCCAGAGATCTGTCTGCCAGAAAGCGCCAACTGTCAAAGCTGAAGACAGAATGTGGCAGCATCGTTTCCGGGGCACCTGAGATTTTGAGTGAGATTGAGAGATTCTATGGGCAGCTGTACACGTCATCGTTGGAGCCGCACGCAAGTGTGAGTAACGATCCAAGAGCGAGTCTTATCCGACATTATTCCGATGATATCCCGGACGTCAGTCTGAGCGAGATTAGAATGGCTCTCCAGCACCTTAAAAACGGCAAGGCCCCAGGCGAGGATGGAATTACAGCGGAGCTTCTGAAAGCGGGTGGAAAACCGGTACTTGAAGTCCTTCAGAAGCTCTTTAATTCCGTCCTCCATGGTGGCATTACACCGGAGGCGTGGAGCAGAAGTGCGGTGGTCTTGTTCTTCAAGAAAGGCGACAACGCTCTCTTGAAGAACTACAGACCGATTTCCCTTCTGAGCCGCGTCTACGTGCTGTTTTCGAGAGTCATTACGAATCGTCTCGCGCACAGACTTGACGACTTCCAGCCTCCCGAACAAGCCGGTTTCCGAAAAGGCTTTAGCACCATAGACCACATACATACCCTTCGGCAAATTGTACAGAAGTCCGAGGAGTACAATTTGCCACTATGTCTGGCGTATGTGGACTATGAGAAAGCCTTTGATTCCGTCGAAATTTGGGCGGTGCTGCAGTCCCTTCAGCGATGCCAAGTTGACTGTCGGTATATCGAAGTATTGAAGTGCTTGTACAGTAGGGCTACGATGGCTATCCGAGTACAGAACCAGAGTACGAAACCTATCCAATTGCAGAGAGGTGTAAGACAGGGTGACGTCATATCCCCGAAACTCTTTACCGCTGCATTGGAAGATGTTTTCAAGCTTCTGGACTGGAAAGGATACGGTATCAACATCAATGGCGAATACATCACTCACCTTCGATTTGCCGACGATATAGTCCTTATGGCAGAATCGCTGGAGGACCTAAGCACTATGCTCAATGACCTCAATAGTGTTTCCCAACGGATAGGTCTTAAGATGAACATGGACAAAACAAAGATCATGTTTAATGTCCATGTCACACCTATGCCGGTAGTTGTTGGGAACACTAAGCTCGAAGTTGTTGACGAGTATGTTTACCTGGGACAAATAGTCCGACTAGGTAAGTCCAACTTCGACCGAGAGGTCAATCGACGGATTCAACTCGGTTGGGCAGCGTTCGGGAAATTACGGCACATCTTCTCGTCAGGTATACCTCAAAACTTGAAAACGAGACTGTACACCCAGTGCGTGTTGCCAGTGATGACATACGGAACTGAGACGTGGTCCTTCACTGCTGGCCGGATGAGGAAGCTCAAGGTCGCTCAGCGAGCTATGGAGAGGGCTATGCTCGGAGTTTCTCTGCGTGATAAACTCAGAAATGAGGATATCCGCAGTAGAACTAGAGTGACCGACATAGCCCAACGGATTAGTAAGCTGAAGTGGCAATGGGCCGGCCATATAGCTCGAAGAACCGACAACCGATGGGGAAGAAAGGTTCTCGAGTGGCAGCCTCGTACCGGCAGGCGAAGTGTAGGGCGTCCCCCCACTAGATGGAGTGACGACCTGGTAAGATATGCAGGAAGTCGATGGATGCAGGTGGCTCAGGACCGTGCTTTGTGGCATTCTTTGGGGGAGGCCTATGTTCAGCAGTGGACTTGTGAAGGGCTGTAATGAATGAATGAATGTGTATGAGGCCTAGCCCAGCTGAGGTGACCGGCAGCGGCCGATTTCCATGCTGCCCCACAACGCTGCATCACTC